TTTAAAATTTTTAAATGCTTCTAATAGTACCTTCAAGATTTCTCCGCCTTCTAGCCATCCTTTACTGTAAATACTTTTCTTCAGTGCATCGCATTGTTTGTATTCCCTTGACAGAGCTCACGGTGAGTGAATGAATATGTTATAAATGTCTCAATAAATATCCTATTAATCTGTTTCTTGTGTCTTTGTCCTTTACAGGATGAAAGAAATTACAGGAAACTTTCAAAGAAGAGATGAAAGAGAATATGTTGAATTTATTTTTTTTTTGTGTCTTGGTGTATGAAATTACTCTCATGGTTGTAAAATTTATATTCTGAACACTGTTGAATGTACCAGCTATAGAAACTTATGCTACTTCACTTCTTTTGAAAGCCCAGTACAATCTAAAGTGGACTTCTTCCCATCACGATGCGCCAAACAACACCCACGTACCAACTGACTACTTGGTAACCAAAGGTAAAAAGTGTTAGAGATGAAGCCCACGTCTCCACCAGACTTTGGATTGAACCTGTGTTCGTTTTTGTGGCCCGATTTTCTACCTCTTAGCAATGAACCACAGTGAGAATTAGTGGTCTTAGCATGTGTGTGTGTGTGTGGGTGTGTGTGTGTGTGTGTGTGTGTGTGTGTGTGTGTGTGTGTGTGTGTGTGTGTGTGTGTGTGTGTGTGTGTGTGTGTGTGTGTGTGTGGACGAGTTAGCTCGGAGTGAAAACAAAGAAGCGTACGTACAACTAAGCGTTTTCCATGATGGGTTTCACAGGCATCATTCAGAACTCCGTGGTCAAGCCGCATTGTGTCATTTGCACCAAAGTTTTGAGTCACGAGAGTATGAAGCCAAGCAAACTGAGGGTCTATTTTGAGTCTTGCTACAGCCATCTGATGGACAAAAGCTTGGACTTTTCCAAGTCGTATCGATTCCACTGGTCACTTCGCTCATAAGAATGAAGCAGCGTTGAAAGCTTCATACACAATTGCTTTAAAAATAGTGCAGACCAAGAAGCATCATACCAGTGGCGAAAACCTGATTAAGCCTTGCATTCTGGAAGCAACGAAGGTGGTTCTTGGAGAACAGCAGGCAAACAAGTTGAAGGCAATTTCCCTTTCGAATGATACAGTCAGAAGTCGGATCTCGGACATGAGTGAGGATATTCTCCTGCAGGTAGTGGCTGCTGTGAGTAGTAGTCCAGTGTATACATTTCAGATGGTCGAGTCAACGGATGTTGCTTCATGTTCCCAATTTTTTGTTTATGTTCGTTACCTCGATAGAGAAGTTATGAAGGAGGTTGTTCTCTGAACCATTGGCCACCACCACTTGTGGAGATCCAGTCCCCGTCAACCTATCGCAGTGAGGTTCTATTCTCAACAATAGTAACACTGAAAACGAAGGCACGCAATGGATCGATACCATGCCTAACCCTTCTAGGGTAGGGTAGGTGCCTGAGCCCTAGCCTTTAGCTCATAAGACTGTCATTCCCATTAGCCCCCTTGGGGCGGGGATGGCAGACCAGAGAGGCCTAGCTTGTGGCTAGGCCTGGGGACAGTTGGTCCCAAAGATGAGGAGGTACTTGTGCCTCCTCCCATGGGAGACTTAGGTCTCAGACACTCCCTAAAGAGGGAGCCAAGGCCGGGCCACCACTTGGAAAAGGCCCGGGCCGGGAGAATACCGGCTAATCTTTAATAATAATAATAAGGCACGCAATAGGCTTGTGATCGATGCTGATATGATGTGTTGCTTATCGAACACTGTTCCTCACTTTGATAGACTTACGGCTGCAAAACAATTTCAACCCTCCCACTCAGAGAATGAGAAGTAGGTTTTATATGATGTTCAATAGTTCTGTGGAATTTGCAATGTTCTGGCATTTGTATAGGCTATGTGGAATTTTTCAAGGTTTTTGTTCTGTGGCATATTCCATAAACCATGGTCTTCCTATTATTTTATTTCATCTTACCTTCTCACAAGGTTCAAAATTTATTGTAAGGTTCATGGTAATACCCTGAAGAATCTCGAGGGCTCATAAAACGGAAAAGATTAAGAACCACTGACCTAGAGAGTAGATCCTGGGGAAGGGGGGGTTCTCTGTATCACGTTATCGATAACTTTTTGGAAAGACAGTTAGGGAGAAAAGGAGGATCTCTGCAATCGAAATTATCTAAAGAGGACTTCAATTGCTGGTCGAAATATGCAGTACGAAATTTTCCAGTCTTCTCTACTGTTTTCACTATGCGCTCCCCCATTAGTATAAGAACGATAAATCAGTGTCATGTAAATTTGCTCAGTTATAGACATCTCGGTAATCAAAAATTCTCAAGTAATTAAGTCCTTGTGCGGGATAAAAATAAAAATATTACATGATAACTAATTTGCGGGGTTTTTTATTACGTGTACAACTTCATAAAGCTCTAATGAGCTTCATAAATTCTAAAAAAGAGAATAAGCTCAACTGTTAGAGCTTCATGTATTTCGTTAGAGCCTCATAAAGTTTTAACAGTATTCAACCTGTCCAAGTAAAGTTTGCTCTGTCCCTTTGCCTTTTTTTCAATACGTCAAAATGCGACATTGTAGGCAAAGGCGCTTCTTTTTAGTTCGTCATTTGTAGAGTCTGGAATATTTCCGGGGTTTGAAACACCCCCATTGGGAGAAACTGAAATTCATTCTCCCCAAAACAAAGAGAAAAATATTTCAAGTCGGATTGGCAACTGTACACTAAAAACAATTTACCTTGACAAAACTTCATTTTTAAAAAATTTAAATTTCAGGGAAAAATTTGCGAGTGAAATGAAATTAAAAAAAAGGACTCGCACCTCCTTTTTCACTTGATTTTAGTGTCACTTCCCATTAAAAAAAATTAATTTCTGACCTAAATTTGCAATTATTTTTTTTATGCCGCATTTGAATTTCTCGGATGAGCCCCATATACCACTTTAAACAGACCGATGCTTTTTAAATTGAAAAAGCAAATTTAAATGTTGGACGGTAAATAACCTGCCACATATAAACTAAATAAGTAGCTCTTAATACTACGATTTCGAAATGGATTTGGAGTTCTGGTTAGCATAAACTTAAACCAAACAACATGCATTAGTGTTCGCAATAAAGCAAACAGAATTCTTGGCTTCATATCTAGAAGTATAAATAATAGAAGTCCTCAGGTTGTTCTTCAACTCTATATATCCTTGGTTAGGCCTCATTTAGACTATGCTGCTCAGTTCTGGCCACCGTGTTACAGAATGGATATAAATGCTCTGGAAAACGTACAAAGGAGGATGACAAAGATGATCCCATGTATCAGAAATCTTCCCTATGAGGATAGACTGAGGGCCCTAAATCTGCACACTCTCGAAA